TCAGAAGTGGAGTGGGTCTGGTTTATGTGGGAGAAGGACTAAGAAAGTTGGAAATACGGGCGTTGTCTAGGGCAAGAAAGGTGGAAGTGGGGCATTGTTGAGAGCAGGCACTGGGTGACGTGGGTGGGGAAAGCCGGTGTGCAGGGATGTGTAAGCAGTACCATGAGGAGGGGAGGGATGAGACAATTGGAAGAGAAGCACTCTAACATTTTTCTCAAGTCTCCCTGACTGCTGGTTGGTGATGGCTTATCCCAGATGCCAAATGCTGCAGCCCCTCACTCTTGCCACACCCCTGAAACCTCCTGAAATGTGGTCTTCCTTCAAGGTCTCGCTCAAGCATTGCTTCCTCCTCCAAGAAGCCTTTGCTAATCATTCAGTAAGCACACACGTCTCTTCTCCTCCTAATGTCAGGAATGCTTCACTTCAAGCCACTGGCATGGCATACCCTCGTCTAGTTTTTAACAATTAGATCATAAAACATTTTGCTGCCCTTCTTGGTTGCCTGCACTGTCCAGCTTGGGGCTAGTTTGGCAACTGTCAATGTGCCCAACCCTGAGCTCCTCTCTGCTCCCCTCCGCAATTCAGCGTCAGCCTGTGGTTTCCTGTTCTGTGTTTAAAGCCCTCTTCTTTTCCAGTCCCCTAAGCATGAAACCTCAGTCACTTTTCAGCCTGCAATCTCTATCATCCATAACTCCACGGTAACAAAGTTTTGATGATTCTTCCTTCTTAACAAAAATGCTGGGTGATTTGTGTGCCACGTGGATTTGGGAGAATGCTAGCATAGTGACTGGCAAGAGCAGTCCCAGGAGTCAGGACTCCAGGGTGCTGGTTGGTCCCATTTCCACCCTTAGGGAGCCACATGACCTTGGACAAGGGCCCTTCCACCCCTAGCCTCCACCTTCATTTTCCTGGTGCCTACAAGAAGAGCATTGGGCTGGATAGTCTCAAGGCCCCCTGTGGGCTCTTGAAGCTTTCCTTTCTGTGTGCCCAGCCCACGTCGTGTTGAGGCCCCATGCTCGGGGCTGTTGTCTGCCCCCCACCCCCCACCCCGTCCCTGGTGGAGGTGGGAGAGGACAGAGCTGGTTTTCAGACATCTTAAGGTAGACCCAGTCTCCCTCCCTGCAGAGGATGAAGTTACTGATTAGGGAGCAATTTGTTCAGGAGACACTGAAGATAATTAGCAAGAGAGGAGGCAGTGCATCCGGAAAGGAGTTTTTCTAGTCCCTTAGGCATTGATCAGTCAATTCCATGAGCACTACACTGGCTGGTCAGGACTTCGATAGGGAAGTAAAGTCAGCAGCTTCGCAGGCACTAAATAGAATACTGCAAGGAGGCAGATGTTGGTGTTGTTTTACTTCGGGGGGCTGCTGGATGCCCAAGAGAGACGGGGGACATGCTCGTTCGTTTTCCTTTCACTGAACATTTATTCATTTGCGAGAACAGTTTTGAGGGCCTAGTCCATACGAGGTGATGTCACTAACGAAAGGGGCTCTACCACCTTCCCTAACTGGGAGAAACTTCTAACACAGTGAGAGATCAGACAGATGGCTCAGTAACTGCTCTGTGAAACGGGATGTGGAAGTGAGTAAGCGAGCAGCCCCCACGCCCACCCCAGAGTGCTGTGGAGGTCGGGCGGAGGTGAGCTCGGCTTGGTTGGTGTTAGCGCCGCCTCCAGAAGGATGGCCAGATGCGCAGTAGGCACAGAGAGTACCTGAGGGTACCTGAGGCGGAGGGGCTGACACAAGCAAAACTGCTCAGGAGGAATAATGAAGGGCAAGTTCAGAAAATGAACGATGTTTGATTTTGTCTGGATCACAACGCCCTCCACAACGTGAAATGCAATTAGAAAAATAGGTCAGGTTCAGCTTGTTTGAGACCTGAAAAGATGCTGGGTTGAATTTGCTGGCAATGGGGCGGCATTGAAGTTTCTTTTGGGCACGGAGTCGCATGATATATAGAGTTATACATTAATTAACAAGTGAGAAGGAATATGCTCCCTTCTTGTTCTGAGACGAAACCAAGAAGCTGTACAAAAGGAGAAGTATGGCAGCGTTTCACATTCCTCATAGTTCCATGAAAAGGAAGAGGTGGCCAAGCCAAGCTCCTTGCCACCATTTCTGAAATCCCTCATGATTCCCTGGGCTGCGGAGTGCAGAGAGGTGTGACGAGAAGCTGTTTCCCCCAATTCACTCAGCTGCCAGGTGCTATGTGCATCTGGCTTAGGAAAAACAAGCACATGGAGAGCTGTTTGTTCCTGAGTTCCCTCTAGGTGGCCGGAAACAGCCCCTATAATGGTTAAATGAAAAAGAAAGAAAGAAAATTTGAGAAAGCATTCAAAAGTACTCAGCTGCTTAGCAGTGTTTGTGGCTGTTAGAAAAGATTTCTTCTGAGGGTGTTCGAGAAGAGAAATGCCTGATCCCTTCAGTGCCTATCTGCCAAGGGTCTGGTGGGGATTCTGGGAAGTGGGAGTGAGTAACATTCACACCGATGAAAACCAAAACAAAATGACAACAAAACTAAACCCTGTTTAGCAAGGAATAGTCCTTGGGACTACTACTACCGTAGGACCATTCCCTCATTTTCCTCTTGTGTGCTGCTTCTCACAAGAGAAGAAAGTCTGAATCTGGGGTGCTCAGCATTGGGAGGGAAGAAAACCGGCCCCAGATGTCAGCCCTGGTGTGTGTGCTCTGTGTAATGCCTGGTCACTTCCCATCCTCTGGAGCTGTAGGTGAGCCGGCAGAGCTGGCTGACCTATGGTGTCCTGGGCCACCCAGGGAATAACATGAGGTGCCTGGAGACTTGGTGGGGGGCACTGATGACTGGTGGTTCTAGGGTTCATTAACCCCAAACAATCACAGTGGGACAGTGAGTTAAAAGTTGCTCAAACCAAAAAAGAGAAAGCCAGAATTCATTTAAACTAGTGAGTTTTGATAGCTTGGATGAGGGGAAGTGGTTATAATTCATCAGTTACCTGAAGGTTTTACAAAAAAACTTTTTATCATGGAAAAATGGAAACACCTACAGAATAAACAGGAGTGACATCATAAAAAATGACAGAATGGGGAACTCAAACATTGTTTCTTGACTAAAGCAATAGTTAAGCAGGCAAAAACTGTCAGGATCAATTTTTGCAGAACTATGGAACCCTAATAAAAAACTTACAATGACTAAGGGAGTGCTTAATGAAGAAAGAAGCTGCTGAATTTCAGGAAGAGAGCACTGCGTTGTGTTAAGTTAACCACTTCCCAACCCCCACTCCTCAACTGGGCTGCTGTACTAGAGGGAGCAATGCAGACCTTCTTTTCTTTCTTTAAAGATTTATTTATTTTAGAGAGAGAGAGAGTGCATGAGCAGGAGGGGCAGAGGGAGAGGGAGGGAGAATCTCAAGCAGGATCCCTGCTGAGTGCAGAGCCCAACACAGGGCTCAGTCTCATGATTCTGAGATCATGACCTGAGCTGAAAGTAAGAGTTGGACACTCAACCGACTGTGCCATCTGGGTGCCCCTGTGGACCTTATTTTCAAAGGGGTGTGGTGTGTGTTTTGACAGCTTCCTGAAGACAGGCTGAATGGCTTGCTTTTGCTTCTCCTTCTTTCAAGCTTTCTCAGGGCTGAAGCAGCTTCCCTGGATGGGGTTTTTTTAAGGCACTGAAAGGCAAATATACTAGCTGCAGCCACCTGCTGCAAGAGAGGACAGTGAGGACAGGCAGGGACAGACAGGAAATCCCAGAAAGGAAAAGGCTGGGAAGGAGATACAGAATAAGGGTTTTGAAAAGCTCCCATCTGCCAGGGCACCTAGAAGGCCACATGCATGCCCAGGGATGGACATATGCTCAGAAAAGACCTGAGAAGACCTAAGCTTCCACCTCTGGGTAAACTTTAGATTCCATCCTCTAGGAAGAGAAGGCTAAGGTAGAGTTGTAAACGCCTGGCTAAGTACAGAAGGAGTAACACACAGCCAAAATGCAAAAATCAGGATAATTTTTTTTAAAATATTTATTTATTTATTTATTTATTTATTTGAGAGAGAGGGTGAGCATGCATACACACACATGAGTGGGGGGTGGTAGGAGCAGAGGGAGTGGGAGAGAATCTCAAGCAGACTCCGCATTGAGCACGGATCCCAATGTGGGGCTCAGTCTCAACGACTCTGAGATCATGACCTGAGGTGAGATCAAGAGCTGGACATTTAACTGACTGAGCCACTCAGATGCCCTGCAGACAATTTTTTTTTTTTTTACTTTACTTTTTTGCCTCAGGTGTTTAAGGACATCTCTGTCAAATCACTAGCTAAGTAAGCACTAAGCCAACAGAACAGACGTCAGTGGCCACACATGACAGAAAATACAGTCTTGACATATACGCAGTAAACAAAATGGTATATGTGCCCAGCATCCAGTGTCCAAAATTATCAACATTTTGCCACCCTTGTTTCATCCATCCTTCTACCTACTCATCAACTTACACTCCATTTTATTATTCTTTTACAGTTATAACATTTTTATACATTAAAATGCATAAATTTTATCAGTTCAATTGTGACAGATCTATATGCCCCTGTAGCCCCCATCCTTATTGCAATATAGAACTTTCTGTCTTCCCAGAAAGTCCCTCATGGCCTTCCTAGTAAACCCCCTCAGATTTTTCTTTTTATACTTCACATGCTCCAATATCTTGCCCTGTCCCTGCCCACCCCCCCAAGCCTGGCAGTCACTGCCTAGAAGAGCCAGTGTTTCAGATGGGAATGTGGGAGGCTGCCTACGTATCTGCCTGGCCCGTCCTTCCACTGTTCCATGTACAAGTAAATACTCATGAGAGCTTTGGGAGAAATGGCCAGAGGTAAGTGGTGTCCCTAATAGATTTGGCAGATGATGTCATTGTAGGGTGTGACTGCTGGTAGGGTAGTAGGAACACTGGCAGCCACAGCAAGGGGCTCCTGAATGGGGAACATTGGGAGCAATGTTTGGTAGGAGATTCTGGAATGGCTTAATTCTTCCAAGCCTTTCTTTTTTTTTTTTTTTTTTTGCGAGGAAAGCACTTGTCTCCTTTATTGAACAGCCTTGGGGCCACCTCCACAGGGGCCAGGCAGCCAGAGGAGAAGAAAGCGGGCAGGAGTCGGGGGGCACCCCCCCTCATTCCCAGTCCTTGAAGAATTGCTTGAAGATGGGGCTCTCCCGGCCCTGGGGCAGAATCTCCACCTGAGTGTTGGGGGCATATCGCATGCGGGAGATGAAGTCCTCGGCCACTTGGAGAGCCGCCTGCCGCTCCTTCTCGTTAGCTTTTCGCCCCTTCCAGATGTAGATCTTGCCACAGAGCCCGTTGTCCAGCACGAAGCAGTCATCTGACAGCAGCAGCTCAAGGGCAAAGGGACTGGAGTCGGCCACCCTGGTCAGGTTCATCTGTCCGGTGGCATCAGAGACCTTATACAGAGCCGCGGCCTGGGCATTTGTCCGGTCAGCTGTGAGGTCTTCCTCGGGGTTGCCCTCCTTCAGAGCTGGCTTGGGGCCCAGGACCTGGATCATCTCGGCGGGCTCTTCCCCATCTGTGACAATCTCCACCTGGGCCTTGCCCTGCCGCTCACTGTCCCGGATGGCCAGGGCCAGGTCCCGGGCCTTGTTGCGCTCCAGGATGTTGGACTTTCCACCACACCAGGCGAAGATGTTCTGGCCCAGGTCCAGGATGAAGCAGTCCCCGGTGTTGAAGCTGTCCCAGCTCAGTGCCCGCTCAGTGGCCCGGATGTTCTTCTTCCCCTTCACCTGGTACAGTTTCTTGATGGCAGCTGGAGCGGCCCCTGGGGAGGTCTTGTGAAATGCGGACTCCACTCCGCCTTCCTGGTACTTGAGGCCACGTGGGAAGTAGCTCATGAAGAGGTTGGACTCATTGCCCTGCACCTCTCGGTGCTGCACGGGTCGCTCCCCAAGCAGGGTGTTGAGATGCACGGCCAGCACAGCGCAGGCCCCCTGCTCATCCCGGGAGGACTGCTGGCCTATCCACAGGTGCAGGTGGGAGAGCTCCTCCGGACCATTGTACAGCACGAGGTAGGAGTCCCCCGAGAAGAAGACGCCCTGGTTCTCACGTGCTATGGGCACTGGCTTCAGTTTCTCCACCCGCCAAACATGCAGGCCGGGATCCTGCGCCGAGGCTGGGAACGGGGAGCCACTCTGGGGGAGGCGTGTGTACATGCTGTTTCCAGTTCTTTCCGCAGCTCTCCTTCCTCGCCCTTCTGCTTTTCAGGTTCTTCTTCCAAGCCTTTTCATATACCATTCCTTTGTCCTGTATCACCACTTATCAGACTGCCTCTTATATATCTATCCCTCAAGACTTAGCTCAGCATTCCTGACTAGACCAGATAGCCTCCTTTTTACTCCTAACCTGCATCTCCATTATGATAACATATCATATTAACACTGAATGTGTTGGTGTCCTGGAACAGACTTAAACTTTTTTTTAAAGAGCAGGGAGCCCGTTGTAGGGCTCGATCCCAGGACCCTGGAATCATGACCTGAGCTGAAGGCAGATGCTTAACCAACTGAGCCACCCAGACTTAAACTTTTTGAAGTCAGGATCTCGGTCTTATTTATCATGGTATTTTTTTAGCCTCTAGAGGGCTGGTATATAGTAAGCACAGAATACAGGTTTTAAAAATAGGTTCATATTGCAAATTGGCCTTCACCTTACCTCAGTCAATGGGCCATTTTGTGGACTAACTCTTCACCTTGTGTCTTGGACCATTGTATTGCAAGAGCATGCCATTTATCACAAGAGGAGCTTGATGAGACTATGGGTCTGAATCAGTTTTTTTTTTTTAAAGATTTTATTTATTTATTTGACAGAGAGAGACAGAGAGAGAGGGAACACAAGCAGGGGGAGTGGAAGAGGGAGAAGCAGGCTTCCCGCAGAGCAGGAAGCCCGATGCGGGGCTCGATCCCAGGACCCTGGGATCAGGACCTGAGCCGAAGGCAGATGCTTAACGACTGAGCCATCCAGGTGCCCCCTGAATCAGTTTTGATAAGGTTTAAGGGGTATATGCAAAGGATAGCTAATTTTGAAGTCTGATGCACTCTACTGAAATGGAAGCTCCTAAAAATCTGGAACAATCTTACTGTTGTATCTTCAGTAAAGGGCCAAACGTGTCATAAGCACCCACTAATGCAAGCACTGCTCCATCAGAGGCCAGCTGGGAAGTGGCTTCTCATGGTGCTCTAAATTGAAGTGAACCTTATAGCTTCTCTGCCTTCTCCCCCCACACACACCATCATCCTCTCTGAGAACTTAAGATAGTGTATAAGTCATAAGCTAGCTTTCCTGGGTTGGGACAGAGGAGCCTGGCCTACCAGGCTGATAAAGGCTTTTACTCTATTTATTAGAGAGTAAACTTTCTTCACCTTCCATTGTGACTCCATTTAAAAAGTTCCTGGTTTCCTCCGCCCTGTAGCAGGGAGCTGGCTCTGAGGCAAAGTCTGAAGCAGGCTTTGTGGAGACAGGCTGAACAGGGTAGCTAGGAGGTTGTCAGGAAGTTATTTTTGGTCATTTATGATTGAAAAGGATCTTGGCCTGAGTTCCCTAGGCTCAGGCTCTGGCCTGAGGCAAACCTTATGAGCTAATGCTCACAGGGGCACAGGAATGCAACGCCAGGGAAGTTAGAGTGAGGGGAAAGTGAAATAACGCAAGTAGGAAGGGAAAGCAAATATGGGGAGGAGTGTTAACAAACTGGCTGCAGTTTAACCAAGAAGGATTACTATTGATCCATCAAATGAGAGGCCCCTGGAGGCAATTCTGAGGTGCCTGAGTGGCTCAGTCAGTTGAGCATCTGACTCTGATTTTGGCTCAGATCATGATCTCAGGGTCCTGGGATTGAGCCCCGTGTCAGGCTCTGTGCTCAGCGAGGAGTCTGCTTGTCCTCCTCCCTCCCCCTGCCCCTCCCCTTGCCTCTCTTAAATAAATAATAAATAAATAAATAAAATCTTGTAGTAATAATAATAATAAAGAAATACTGAGTCTGATAGTAGTCTGTTGGGAGGAGGAAAGGAGAAGAATCGATCCACTGTCTCCTTCTTATCTTCCTGCTCTGATAAGCCAAAGTCCCCCCATGAGGCCTTAATTCCTTTGTATTCTCAGGCTATGTTACCTGCCCCTGTGGGCAGCTGCTGGGGAAGCCAGAGCCCATGACATAGGTGGTTATGGTGTGAGCCAGCGGCACACCTTCCCTCCCTGCCTGCCTATAGCAGAAGCCTGTGGGCCAGCCAGTGTGTATGCATAGCAGCTCAGTGAGACTGAGTGGGTGCGGCAGTGTGGGGGTTGGGGTGCATGAGGCATGGGACATGGCATGCGAGACATGAGTGACACTGCCGTACCAAGCCTGGAGCAACATGGGAGACCAGAAGCAGCTGCAGTGGTGGGCCCAATTGCCCAT